GTAGGGAGGACGGACGTGAGTGCAACGATCAATCCGGAGCTGTTGAGCAGAAAGAGTGGCGATGGGGTTGAAGCAGCAGAAGACGAGTGAAACCTCTTCCTCTTCAAGTGTGAAATGGCCGCAGACCAGACGACGTGTGACGAATAACTCGACGCCGCACGACGAAGACGAAGCATGATGAAAAGGAGGAAACACGACGAAGAGAAAATCGACGAAGCGATACCAGGTTTCGCCATAATGGCGAAACCCTAGCAGAGTGAAATCGGAACAGACAACGCCATTATATAATATATAAATATACTACAATTATTTCGTCTATACCTTCACATGACGCTGAGTTGCTTGATGCCTCCTCTCTACGCTCTCTTGCCGCACTTATTGCAGCCATGCGATCCCGAGAATCCTCTGCTTCCCTCACTGATGCCGATCAACTCTTAAATTTTTTCTTGCCTTTGCTGCCTACACATCAATTTATAACAAAAAATATCCTTTCGTTTTCCCGAACCTTTTGGCGTCATCTCATTTTTCTTCATCTTCCAAATTGTTCGATTCCTCTCCCTCCCTCTTCAGTTTCCCGTCTCCTTGCTTTCTCCTCTCTCCTGCTAATCTCTTTGTTTCCTCTTCCACCTTTTTGGCTTTTCGATTCTTTCTTTACAAGAACGGGACGTTACAATCATCCCCTATTACCTATAAAAAACCTTAAGTTATTTCTCATTATGTTGATCAACATTAGTTATCTATGAAATTAAGGGTCATATGAAAAATAATCACTATAACGGTAAAGACTCGATATAAGACGAATCAGCTATACTTCATATAACAATAATGACACAAGAGAGTATTTTAGGAAAATAGGTCAAACTCATCAAACTTCAGTATCATCAGCAGCAGTAGGTTCTTCAGGCTCACTATAAATAAGGGAATATACTCAAGGTTGAATAGGCTGTCTTGGTTGACCTTGAGTTAGAGCTGAAGCTATAGGCTCAATCTTTTTTTGCCCGCCTACAGGCTTCTGTGAAGATGCTCCACCTCATTGCATTGAATCTTTGGACTACTTTTCCTTCACCCATAAGTTCAATATGGCTCCTCCTAGTTGTTAAAGATAGCCCTCCCAGATCTTATGAGTTTACAACAAATTTTAACGTACCGAATGACCAGATCGATATGTAAATAAAGCATGAAGAAACGTCACTATAATATGAATAACCTATTCTAACAAGCTTCCTAACATCCTAAACGTTCATCCAATTCATTACAAAAGAATAGTACAAAAATTCTACTTCATAAAGCAGGTTTCACACACAACAGAAAGCTTTATTAATTCAAAGCAAATCTACCACATAAGTGTTGATAATAAGTACAAAATAATGAATATCACAATACTTAATTTTTTGATCCATGCAATGTCTTCTATTGATCCATGCAATGCTAATACAATCCCTTATGAATATCTCACAAAATCCCTTCACTATCTCTCTAGAAAAGTTAAAAATCTGCATTTCTTACACCTCTCTACGAGCACTCGGCCTTTTGGAGATTTTCAGGGCTTAAAAATATCGAAAAGTCCCTTCTCCAATGATTCTTCGGTGAATATATCTCCAAATTTGTGCACAACCACTGAAGAAATCGCTATTAGATAGTTAGGACGCCTAGGCGCTGTCTTCTCTGTTTTCTTGGGAAAACTGGCGCCTAGGCGCCACCTTGCTGGAAGTACCCCCATCAGCTCCATTCACTCTAGCTGTTTTACCTGCAAGATAAACATGAAAATACTCTTCTTTAATGTACAATTGTTTCTAAAAATATGTGCTAAATGTAAAAGAAATTAAACATAAAAACATCAATTTGGTGGATGAGTGGCTTTAGACTTAGAGATAAAATGAGAAATGAATATATCCGTGATAGGGTTGACGTAGCTCGAGTGACGAGCAAAATTAGAGAGAGTCGTCATAGATGGTTTGGTCACATTAAACGTCGACCATCTGATGATCCGATTTGGAGAATAGATGTTTTAGATTCCTACTTACGTTAAGAAAGACAGAGGTAGACCTAGGAAGACTTGGGCTTATTGTATAAAAATTAATCTTAATTTATTAGAACTAAATGAAAATATGACTAAATGAAAATATGTAGGATGCAATGGAGAAAAATGATTCATGTAGCCAACCCCACATAGTGGGATTAAGACTTTGTTGTTGCTGTACATCAAGGAGCGGTTTACACACTTGTCTAAAAAAAATACACACTGAACCAGGCTATGCTTGAGCTATAATGCAAGTGCTCCAAATTTCTGTGTTGATTAAGATGATTTTTGCATTCAGCAAAACTGTATCAGGTTCTGCACTTTCATGCATTCCATCTTTTAACAACCTAAACCGCTGCTGATAAATTGTCATAGCTTATGATAGAAATTAAGTGTCATGAATCTTAACAGGATTCTTCTACATTGCTGACAGTATTACATAATCTAATGTTTTATTTCAGATAACATAGATGAGGAAACTTCTGAATTTCTCAAGTTTTAAATATGCTTAATACTGTTATGAATACAATTCTTCAAACAAATAAAGATCCTAAGTGGAAAAGTACAAATCATATGAATAATGAATGATTGCATTATGGGTTAGAATGTTAGAAAGTATATATTCTGTGCAGTGAAACAATGAGGGTTTCCTATTATAATTTTTCTCCAGTTATTAGGGACAATAGTCACGATGTATTATGTCTTCTTTCGTTTAAATAGAATATTTTTCTTGATGTTATTCTTTTAAACTGCTACTATTGATAAGAAATGAGTTTTAATCTCTATGAAAGAATAAACTTGTCAACATACTCGCACTGATGATATTATGACTGAGTAGTTTTTTCAAAATCATCGTGCATGAATTTAAACAGTGCTATACTCTTGTTTCAGTTTTCAGGTGACTTGAGAGCGCCTACAGGTTATGATGCACCGGAAATTAGCGAGTCAAGGTCTTATACTGATCGAAGTGATGTTTACAGTTTCGGTGTGGTTATGTTAGAGCTTCTTACTGGTCGTCAACCATATGAAAGGTGGATAAAGTTTATTTTATGATAAGACTTTAGGTTATTTTACTTCTAATTAGATAAAACATTTAAAAGCTTCTCTTTTTCTCTATTAGTTCATATTCTCGTGCAGAGCAGCATCTGGTAAGATGGGCCAGCCCACACCTGTATGACATCAATGCATTATCAAGAATAGTGGATCCTTCTATTGATGGTGTGGTTTCTCTAAAGTCATTATCTCGCTTTGCAGATATTATTGGTCGTTGCATTCAGGTAAAATAATGGTATTGGCAGCTCAGTTGTGGCTGTGAAGACAAGTTTTTTATATGTTTTGATGATTTTCTATCCCATGGGAGTTTTTTTATTTCTTATTCTTTAGTTTTCATTTTATTCTATTTTATGATGCTCTATAACTTTGTCTCAATGTATCTACGTAGTCATTTGTATCTTACTTTGCTAAATGTTAAAACTTATTGCATCGCTCGGTTAGCTTGTAGGAGCCATCTATGGGTCCATTCATGCCCTTGACATATTTCAATTTTGTTATGGTGGATTTTTTTCATTGCCTTCCATCTAAGTTAATAGGTTTGTGAGTGCAAATAAATATATCAGGCACAAATATTAGTACATTCAATTACATGAAATTATAAACGATTAAGTTAGATTTTTTTTTTTTTTTAATGGTGCATATTGCATTAACCAATAATAAAAGGTTTACAAAAAATGTACAAACTATGTCCCATGGATATTAATAAAATGCCCTATATCCCCTTTCAAAAAAACAAAAAGAGGATAAAAAGAATTTACATGTGTCAAAATAAAATCTACATCCATAGCCCTTGTAGCACAAGTATGAGCAGCTTTGTTGTTGCTCCTGAAAGTGTGTTTGAAGATCACTTGGTTGAAACTGCACAAAAAAATGATTGTTTGGTTTATCTAGAGTCACATTTCTCCGCTTTTGTTTGTGCATAATATTCCATTAATAATTTATATCATTGGCATTATCGCTTTCAATAATAACTCCAAAACATTCTGTCATCCCATCCTACAAAGGTCATTGGAGGTGAGAAATTGCAAGCATTTCCACTTGAGCACTGTCCCAATGGAACATTTTCCGCCCCATAGCCTAAATAATCTCTCCTTGATCATTTCAAATGATAATTCCAATGCCAGCCAACCCATTCGGAAGCAATGCTCCGTCAACGTTTACTTCAGTTTATCCTAGAGCGTGGCGGGTGCCAAAGGGAAGTTGAGGACAGCCTATTCGGCTGATTAGGTTGAAGGTTATAATTTTGAGCTATGAATGTCAGAAAACTATGGACACATATGGGATTTGATCTTAACAGAATTACGAGATCTGCTGTTAGAGGAACTTTTCAGTCCATTGCACTAAACCGGATGAGATGAAGCACCCAACCCTTGATTTGCTAGACTAGGCATGTTGATTGGCCATTGATGTGTTCAGCCTACTCTTCTGATTGATAATTTAGTTAAAAAGTTATAATGGTTATTCTTTTTCCTAATGATTTTCACATCTATTCAGTATGTAAATTTGGTTTAATGTGTTGTCTTATAATTAAATAATATTTTAAACTTATTTACATGGGATCCTCCACTGAAAATTTCCTTGGCGTAAGCAAAATTTTCCCTAATTTTGAACTTTCTCCTCCCTCTTTCTTTGCACGCTTTTGAACTCTTTTTATCCTATCTTTGCTGCTCTATATCATGTCATTTACTATTCTTACTTCTCTCCATCTTTTGTAAGAAACTCACCTAGGTAGTCGACTCAGATGAATATTTTTCTTCATTGCAATATTATCAATTTAATCCTAAAGAAATGCATTGATCTTTGTACTATTTTAACTTCCTTTTTTTCTAAATGAAGATATGTTATGATCTTGAATATTGGAGTTACTTGTGGGTTTTTACATTTCATATTTTTATTAAAATTCTTTTAGCAATAATATAAGATGCAAAATTCGGTCGGTAATAGGGTCTATTTCTGACGTAAACACTATTACTGACTGAATTGCGGCGAAAAGTATCCCATTGCTAAATTGCGAGTTGCAAAGCTGTTAGATTCGGAGAAATTCCACCGTTAATGCTTGCATTAGTATTTTTTGTCGTAGAAAATCTTACGGCAAAATACTGATTAGCAACATAAAATTCAGTCGGTAATAGGGTCCATTTCTGACGTAAACCCTATTACTGACTGATTTACTATGAAAAGTACTGATACAAAAATGTGGGTTGCAAAGCTATTAGCTTCAGAGAAATTCCATCGCTAATGGTTGCATCGGTATTTTTTGTCCTATAAAATCTTATGGCGGAATTCAATGGTCATGTATTAATAACTTGGCAGCTGATATAGTTTGACGCTAGTTTGCGTCGAAAAATCCATTATAAAGCAGACACAATATTGTGCAAAATTCAAAAAAAAAATATAGAAAATCAGTCAAAGTTTCTACACTTGCATTCAACAACAACACTAATCACAGCTCACAATAGATTTAATAAATATATAATGATAGAGACAATGAATGAAATCAATAAACATAACTTAGAAAATCTAATAAATCATTCATCTTGTACATAATTTTTTAAAATATAAGCAAAGTACATTTTTACGGAATTTCACATTCAAATATAAAATTAAAAAGAAAACATAAAATCTTTATGGGGCATCATCAGAATGTCACATCCAAATATTAAATAAAAAAAAAACTTAAATTATTGCTAAAGACATCTTCCTCCTCCTCTACAACACTAAAGGTCGCTTGCCATGGCGATCTATTTCTTGCTTCAACTTCACAATGGTAGTCTCGAGCCTCTCGATTCTCATCCCTAGCATGGAGTTCCTCAGATATTGTGGCCACTTCCCTAGCAAGTTCATCATCTCATTCGATGAAAACCTCGCACTTTTAGCTTGAGAGTGCTCGACCTTTTATACAAATTCTTGAGCACCCAAGCTATAGGCCCTCACATTCTTCTTCCCGACAGCTGCCCTTTAGATCTCGTAGTCAGGCTGCTTAGGCAGTGATTGACAACTGCTACTGCCAACACCTATCAGGCTCTGGCTCCGGTCCTCCTTCATGTGCTCGTAGTCCTCCTATAGAATTAAAATCAAAGAATAATTAGCACTTTACATCAAAATTGAAAGTAAATTATAGAAACACATAACTATTTTACTTACATAGACACATCGAGATATGTCAGAGACCCATTGTTGCATCCCCTTGTGCCAATGTGTTTGAGCATGCAACTCGGCATTAAAAGAAGAGTAGGGATCTGTCAGAGTGGCGAGCTTCCATCCAAGCTTCTGACTCTATTAACATATAAAAAAACTAAGCATCAGATGGTTAAATTAATGAATTGCTGAGTATTGAATGAATCTTATCAACTTGTTTCAGCGCTCAATGTGCGGGACCGAACTTCTAATGTGTAGTGCAGTGTCACTCCCCCTCCCCCTCCCCCTCCCTCGAATCTCTAGTTTTGTTGTGTCGTATCCCTCTTCCTTTGATAATCCAGAGTGGCTCATGCTCGTCAACTTTGTCCATACGTCGCCTATCCAAATAGGATGTTCGTCTTTCTTATGAATCTTAGTGAACATATCACCTAATCAATGATTTTGTCGACATTACTTATGATGCTTAGGAAGCCAGTAGGAACTCTGCTAAGTAAATTTGAAGCAATGTTTATTAAGATAACAAAATAACTAAAAATTCAAATCAATTGATTTTATCTCAAATTTCATAAATCGCATAACCTGAATCTCGATCGGGAACTTCCTCCATGAGGTATGCAGAGTACCATTTCTACTTCTGACGATCTTTGTGATATGGACGACATGTTGGTTGGAGAGACAGAACCTAAAATACAAATATTAGTTATACAATATAGCAAAAACTAATTCAAATTATTATAAGTTTAGGTTACTCTCGAATTGCCCTTTGACTCAATATATAATCTTGCGGAGGTGTCCTGTCTCAATTGGATGCGAGCAGAGGGACCCGACTCATCAGAGGAGGGCTGTGATGGCAATGAGCTGGCATGGTAGGAGCAAGAAGCCGGAAGGGCGTAGCAGACCCGATTGGAGCAGCACAACTAACAGAACCTAAGGCCTCATGGACACGGATGTTGTAGTGGTAATGATAACCATCATAGCATTGCTGGTGTGGGAGGAAGAGCATGAAACAATATGCTTCCTTCTTTGATATGGAATGCTAGTTTGAGTCGGCTGCTAACGTGGCTGCTCTCCAATGCTACCTAAAACTACTTGTAACAAGGAACAAATTAATCAAAATAATGATAAACACAAAATAATATAAATGTAAGTAGTAAACAAGTACAAACACCACACTAAAATTACGAGTATGACACGTCAGAAGTAAAAATATAAAAAATAAAAACAGCAATAACCAGAATTATGATAAAAAAAATATCATAACTAAGTATAAGTACGACACCAAAAGCAAAAAACACCAAAAGTAAAGCAGGAATAAATAGAATAATGTGAATAATAAAAGCTAGCACTATAAGTGGTAAAAGTAGAAAGTAACTAAAATCTAAAAATACATCTTAATCTTATTATGTTTCATCAGACGAGCTAGTCGATGATGAACTTCAAATTTCTTTGTTCATACCATTATCAGATTTATCCCCAATTTGAGTAACCTTTTCATATGCCCTAGTGACATCCTCAATGGTAATCCCTTGCTCAATAAAATCAAGCTAAATATGAAAGTCTGATATTTCTAACTCCCGATGAACAAATTCAATAATGCTTTGTACCTTAATAATCCTTCTAGAATTAGTCTTTATAATCATTGTACAATCAATTTTGTCTCCTGCTCAATTAGGGTATCTAATATAATATACATGACTAGCTTGATGTGTTAGAATAAATGGATTGAACTTCACATATTTTCTGTTCATTTTAGCTTCAACGATATCGTATGAGTTTAGTGGTCTTGTTCCTCGATTAAGAACATGATCAAGTTGCTTACAATTGAACATAAATACATTGCGCTCAATACAAACCGAATATCCCAATTACACTATTTCTTGAACAATATTGTGGTAGCGGATCTTGGTATTTGAGTGGGCGTTTCTTCTAACACAAATGCCAGAATTATATTTTTTTTTTCCCTCAAACCAAAAATTTTTGTGAAAGCTATAACCCTTCATATCAAATATTTGCAATGTAGTAACATCGTGATTAGGTCCCCAAGCAAGATATAATAAGTCTTGATCTGTAACGCTATTGTTTTGGTATGAACCTATTATAAATTTTAATATATAATTATTTTTACTTTGAGCGTTCAACTTATAGACTAGTGAATTGAGGAGTCAGTTGAATGTACGTGTTATTTGAATTATGTCAGAAATTATTATTCTATCTTTTGCTTGTAATATAGTCGTCTTCTATGTTTAAAGTGCTGACAAATAACCTGCTTGCATCATTATTTGTTAACGAGCAGGTTAGTTTAACATTCTTAATGATAACTAGAACATATTCTAATTAGTGCAAATCTTGATAAATGGTTGGACTTAATTATAGTTAAGAAGAATATATAAAGTTGCTACTCGATGGTCCTTTTACTTTGGTTGAAGTTTGGCTCTATTTAAATTTATTTGATTTTTGTTTAGTTAGATTTTAATTTTAATTTGAACCCTCGATACTTTAACATCTGAAATACAAATAGCACATGCTTCAAAGTCACCTCACTAGCAGTTTGATCTATTGGTTATTGTTGTTTAAAGTAATACAAATATAAAATAACCGTTTCCTGTAACAAGTATGCCTCATTTTTTGAGCCCTGATGGCATGCTTTATTTTTTACTGCTCTTTTGATTTTATTAAAAAAATTGCAACATCGTTCGTTTTTAGTAAATTATGGTAATAATTTTTTTTAATTTAAGTAATTGTACTTCGAGAAAATATTTCTCTCGAAGGGATACATCCACTTTATTACAATGGACTTCCTATTATAGCCTCATAACATAGATGTACGGGGTATTTTTCATCAAATATAAAAAAATCAGGAGAAAATATTCCCCCAAACTTGCATAATATCAATTAATTCTCACTTAAAGATTTCTCAACACATCGACTTTCAAATTTTCTTACACAAATCTTTAAAGAATGCATTGATTTCGATTAATGAACTAAGTATTAGAGTTGGCAAAACACTGAATGCAGTTGACAGTAAACATTGCAAAAACATGTAACGATCATGATTTTTCATACTGAATATTTTCCCTGTTCTTAAGTCAAGACAGGGGCTAAGCTAGACACATATCCACTGAGGAATTTTAGGGGTTGTAACGATTCATATATTGTGGACTTCTTTGATCCAAGGTCAGACAATACTTTGTTTTAGGCTTTATCAGTTTACCTTTAGTTGTCTCTTGAAATTCCCCGTCCCTCTTCTTGCAATACTCCTTTAAATTCAATGTCGTTTTGGCATTAGCTTTAGTTTTGTCTTTAATATCTATCACACTATTGAATATATTATCGAAAAATTTTCGATCAATAAGCATGACATTGAGATAATATTAATCAAATTGGTTATTCAAGATGTCAGTTCTAAGAAATAATCTACTTTATCTAATTATGTGTAATATCAAAATCAGAAAGATTATTTGAGGATAGTTTTGGGGAATTAGGGATCTTCGGTATTTCAGTAATCATCTGTCACCAATCCTTGGTTATCTTTGCCGGAGGACTTGATTTTCAACTTCATTTTATAAGAAGACATCTTTTGATGTAGGGTCCAATAAGGTGGACATGGTAAGTGGGAGTCACGTCCCGTGTATTTGGAGGGATGCAGAAGGCAGAGACCGCCAAGATCGGTTTTGTCCAGGTTATGGGAGAGACAATCAGCTCTTTCTAAGGGGAACACCGCCTCATTCAAGTAGAGGGGATCACTCATATTCTATATATTTGTATTTATGATGCTTTAGGATTAGTTTTTCATGTGTTTTGTATCGGGACAGCTGTTTACGTATTTTTCTCTTCGAGGGTTGTATCCTAAGATTTGAGGTGGTGTTTCGACTTTATCTTGGTCTCCAAGTGGTGATTGTTTTCCCTATCCTCTTTCACATTCTCCCCACGTCGCTCCAAGCCACCCTCCCTTGCTGCAGCCACCTCTAAAAACCTCTAAAAACCTCGTATTGCTGTTTTCTCCACAGTTTCCCAATTTCAGCCACCAGTCATCGCTTCTGCTGCCCGGACAGCCGTCCTCTTACTATCCCGCAGTCCCTGGCATTCCCCGTCGATGCCACTGACATTCCCCTTTGCTGAAGCCGCCAGGAAACTGTTTCCTGCTATTTTCTGCATTTCAGACCAAGTTTCATGCGATTCCAGTGCTCTCATTTGCTGCCCTTGCTGTTTCAGCCACGAGAAATGCTCTTCACTTCCTAGCAGTAGCTGATCCAGTCATCCTAGACCATGTTCCTGCCACCTAACCTCGCTCCCTGTTGTTTACTTGCTGTCCGACATCGGTGAAACAGCCGCCTTGCTGTTTTCTTCTTGCCAACTTCTTTTTCCAACCCCGTGCCGCCTTCCCCTCACCAACTACCACCACTATCCCGAGATCTACACTAGTTTGAGTATTTGTGTTGTGTCTGTTGCTATTTCAGATTTTTGGGTGTATGTGCTGTTTTATTCTCAACTTCTGCTCCAAAAGTCAAATCTCATTGTTCGTTAGGATGTAATAATATTGAATCTATATTCCATTTTTTATATTCAATACTATGAACGCATCATTGTTACATTTCAGCTACATTTTTATGCATCATTTTTGTATGATAATTCCTTATGAAATACATAGTTGTTTTATACAAACTTGAATTAATTAATCACACATTAAAAGAATATTAATAAAATAAAATCTAACAACTTTTTTTTCCCTCTATTGCAGCAAGCTCCAGAATTCCGGCCATCAATGTCTCAGATTGTGCAAGATTTAATCCTCGTGTTAAAAGATGCAACAATTTGTTAACAGATTGTGCAAGGTATGGGTCGCTATGTAATTTGCAAAACTAATCTTATTAGCTTACTATTTATTTGCAAAAAAATACTTTGTCGGCACAATATGTGCATTATTACTTTCTTCCTCATATGTTCTGTTTGTAACTTTGCTAAAGCCGGTCTGGATGAACAGATTGTTTTATATTTTTTGATATTTGACTAATTTTAATATTTATTGTTTTTTTTTCATACAAATTTACCAAGACAAAATGATCTTTTTTTGTCAATATAATATTGTTTCATGCACGTAATTGCGAGAAATATTTGTGTACGTCTAACGTACATAGAGATGCGTACGTCGGTAGGTTATAATGAGGGTATTGGGGGGGTTATATCCGCGTTATATTCCCTGTAACCTCTCCATAACCTACCTGTAACTAGTAAGTTTCGCGCTTCTATTTTCATATATTTGTAAGTTACAGGTATGTTACAGAGAAGTTTCAGGGGGTATAACGCGGATATAATCCTTCAATACTCTCTGTAACCTACCAAAGTACGCAAATATTTCTCCATAATTGCTATGTTCAGTTATTCATTTTCTTTTTTTGAGTAGTTTGAATTAAAATCATCCAAACATTTTTCTAAAGTGAAACTAATGGATGAGATAGGATGATTTCAGTAATATAATTATCATAGAAATTTGAGTGGATTGGGATGCAGTTCTACAGTAATCTTGAATATTTTTTATGTCTAGATTTTTATGTTTGTGGAAGGTAAAGTATGAGATAATTATGAAAGAGGATGGTGAAAATCTTGAGGAAAAACATATTTTTGGTGGTTTGAAAATATAAAATTAAATTCTTAGATAAACGGACAAATATGTAAATATGATACCTTAAATTGTGAGGGAGAAAATACTAAATTCATGTAATTTCTATTAAAAGGATAATGAAATGGAAATATAAATTAAACAAATGATGAACGGACAAATATGGAACAAGCTGATGTTAATTCAATGGAATTTATATTTTGCTAAAATATTAATTTAATTTTGATTTAAAATAGCATTTAGCAGGACGAGTTGAAAATGACATTTGAAATAATTCATTTCAAATAATTGAAATTAATGAAAATCATCATTTTTTAAGAGGTTGGATTCTTTCAAGGGGGAATTATTACATAGCATTGAAATTTTATGTTATATAAAATTCTCTCCTACGCTTTAAGTTATGCAATCATATCACATAAAATATCAAAATAAAAACAATAAAAAAGCCTGTCTATTAGAATCATGAACCCCATCATCCCACCAACTAATGATCGCTTGCGCACCAGCAACCTTGTTGCATCGCAACTGGAATCATTTTTCCAACTCTCATCGCGACATAAAATTTGTTGATATGAAAATAACTACTAAGAAGTGGCTCATCCTAACTCTTCTTCACACGCCAATCTGGCGCTAAATGCCTTGGGTGCAAGTGCAAGTTTTAAGGCGATGTTTGGCTCCGCCTTAAATTTTCGTCAAGTTAAGTAGGATTTATCAAATCTAGTAAAAATTTGAATTTATCGGTTAAAGATGGAGATTGCTCAGACGCGGAAGTAAATCCTTTAATATGACCTGTAGTTAGATTTAGTAAATCCAGATTTAGGGACGAAACACAATAATCTGAGAAAGACTACACCAAATTTTGATCTAAAGGTGGGTTGAATTTAATTTATATTTTTTTATGTTTGGCTAGATTTAACTTAAGTTCATTCCTAAATCCCATTAAAATAATCCTGCCAAGCATCGCCTAAACCCTTGTTTTCTCATCTCTTCTCTGCTAAATATCATAGTCCCACACACGGTGTTGGTCTTATCCAAAGCAATGAATTCACCTTCGAGCAATAGAGAGGGTGAGTTCAATGCTTTATTCTTTAGTGCCCAATTAGAAATAGAAAAGTCAATAGAGGCCATGTAGATGCCATGCAATCGAGGCTTTGATTGAAATTCTATGTTACAATTTGTAGTATTTAACGACATTGATGGTCTCATGGAAATTAGTTAATGTTGCTAATTGGGTTCTAACAATGTAATATTTGAATTTTATTTATGAAATTTGTTTATACCAGAGTTAACACAAAAAACAATAGCAAGGCTAAATATTATCACTGTATTACAACTCACACACTGAAATGAAAAATGTAAGAATAGAAACAAGCAAATGTTGTATTCCAAGGGTGGTGTAGGTCGGCGAGGTGGGCTGGGATATGTAAGTTGTGGTATTATATTGTAGCAGATTTGGTAGATAAGATCTCTAGAAAGTGGATGAGTTGCGGTATGGACAGTAGAGGTCTAGAACTATAATAAGGCAACATGGGAGATGGATTTGGGAGGCTGAAACAATGAGGACAACACAAAGAATAGTCAGAACAGTAGCTTGGTTGGAAAAACTGGGGGTGATAAAAAATGGCAAGAGGGATGGCTGGACATCAGGCAAATAGCGACAGAGAGTGGTAGGGTGGTTGGAGTGTTTGCAACAATGAGGGAGGCAAATTCTAGAAACTTGCACAGAGTGGGAAAGGTTAGGGTGCAGGTTCTGGAGGCAACAACATTTTAGAAGGGAAGGCTGGAAAAGGTAGTGACAACAACTACTTACTATTCTGAATGGCGATTGTAGAAAGAAAAGCAACTGGCGACAGCTAGAAGATAGAAAGCAACAGGAAGAAATAGTCAGGACAACAGAGACCAACTCGTTGAGAGCAATGTAAGGAGGATGCGGTAGATGATAAGGAAGATAATCACTACAACAAGAAGGAGATAAAATAGGAGAACCACTTGAACCCTTGGATATAGTCCTCTAAGAGAGAAATGAATATTGACGGTTGTAACAAAATCATGCCAAATAACTACCTCCCAAACCCTAATACAACACATATATAGGAAATGACTAAAAGGAATAAATGATAATAGAAAAGAAAGCATAAAAAAAGGAAAAATGATTATTTCGGCCTGTCTCCCATGATATGTAATCTTGCGATATTATAACAGTTACAATACTACAATGATTTGGTGTGGTAAGCTCCCATATCAATCTCCCAGGTTTTAGGAAGTTTTGATCTCATTCATCAAAGCTTTTCTCTCCTCATCATATAGCATTGGGTCTGTGACATTGAAGGTGTCAAAAATGTTGAAATCATCACGTAAGTCAATCTTGTTGGCATTAACATTCCAAAGCACGTCTTGATAGAATATATATCCATCCTATTTTGGCACAATTATAACTGAAATTTTATGTTGATGAGTATCCTCATAAACCATGCCTTGAGCTATTAAATCTATAGTTAGTTTCTTTCACTCTTCGTACTAGTCCGAGTGTACCTTATAAACATGTATGTCAGGAGGCATCAACTCTAGGATGAAATCTATGGTAGGCTAGAACACACTAAAGTAGAACCTCTCAAGAGATGCCTCTTCTCCTTCTTCTGTAAAAGGACCTTTATCCTATTGGAGAATTTGCACAAAATAGTCTCATTCCTGACATGATGGAGCTCCCTCAATAGGGGGAACTAACGAAAGAGTCTATTATCAAGGTTGACATGCTTATGGTGTCAATTTATCTAACTCAAGACTGACTTGAACAATCACTATTAATTCAATTAGAGTCTCTCTCATGGGCTCAACCATAATTATGTGAATCTTTTTATCATCGGTTCGAAGTTGGTACCCCCTCCTTTGTGTCCTCATCTTCTTCAGTGTCTACTATGTCATTATCACTTTCTTCTATAGCTCCCTGAATTGTGAAATATGCCACCCCCTTACTTTTGTAATTTTGTTAAATAGGCACAAATACATAGAACTTAAAACACTTATGGTCTAAGGAGGCTTTGGGAATGTGAATTGGTACCTTCTGTTCTCCACTCTAAACTAGTGTATTTTCAGGTAGGGCCAGCTTGGATATTCTCCTAGGTGTACTCTGATTGTAAGATCCTAGGGTTGAACTCTACCTATAAGATGTGGTGGTCTCCCGACAATGTCATTTCTCCACTTCTAAAGATAGGGTCTAAGCATCCAATCTATAGTGAGTCAGTAGTAACTAGTGTTGCATCTCCTATTTCATCTTAGACCGTGTATTAATTTTACTCTTACCTTCTCACTGTTAAAGCTCAAATTTGCCTAATATTGAGATGCACTCTTCTTTAACTTGCTTGTTATTAGTTTAATCACTCTGTCTGGTGGGATGTCCTGAAACTTAAAAGACATTCCAAGGTCTAGAGCCACTCGATGACCACATCTGGATCTATGTGATCATCAAAACATGACAAATCCACATTTCAAATTTTTGGCTTCTAAGATATTTCAGGTCAAGTCTCCAGAACAGAGGTTCTTCATCTTTGATATCCATATTGTAGAGGAGATCCACTCCATTTCTATGATCTAGTAAGTCACCCTTGTGGTTATAGGGGTGACCCATTCGGAGTGCCTCCTCTCAAAGGAGGCATGCCTCTTTTGTAGTTGGTAGTTTTCCCACTATATATCTTCTCTAAAAATCTCTTAGATGCCTCTTTACAAATTTCTCATTAATTGCATTGCATCCTTTCCTCTTTACTTGGCTTCTGATGATTATCTCCTTGGCGGCATAAATATGTTTAGGGAATTGAAAGAAAGTATTTGGTGTTAGGAAAGAAAATTTTTGGAGTGGAGATAGTTTGGGAATAGCGATTCTTAGAAAAACATAGGATATGAGTAAGGTTATACTAGCTCTGATATCAAATGATATCGAACTTAGCCTAAATAATAATAGAAAAACTTAACATTACTATTTTAAAGCCAATTAAGTGTTACAACTCACACACTAAAAAAGAAATGCAACAATAGAAATAAACAAACACAACTAAAGTGCATTCCAAGGGTGGTGGAGGTCAGCAAGGTGGGCTGAAATAGGTATTTTGGGGGGTTGGAAGTTTGTAGATTCAACAAGTAAGGTCTCTAGAATGCGGATGAGTTACAGTAAGGCCTATTAGGGCTAGAATAATAATAAGGCAACATGGGCGATGAATTTGGGTGGCTGGAATAATAATGAAAGCATCTAGAATGGTCAAAACAACAACTAGGTAGCGACGAAGTGTGGTAAGGGTTGTTGGAAAAGCTTGGGGTGGCCAAAAATAGCAAGGGGCATGGCTAGATAGTAGTTATGTAGTAGCACATAGTAGTAGGGTTGGTGGAA